TATCTAAAGGGTGGGTTGAAGGAGGATGGAGCCAGACTCTTCTCGGTGGTTCCCAGTGACAGGACGAGGGGCGATGGGCACAAGTTGGAACAGAGGAAGTTCCGTTCCAACACACGGAGAAACTTCTTTACAGTTGGGGTGACAGAGCAGTGGCACAGGCTGCCCAGGGGGGTGGGGGAGTCCCCTTCTCTGGAGGTTTTCAAGACCCGATGGATGCAGTCCTGAGTAACGTGCTCTGGGCAGTCCTGCTTTAGCAGGGGAGTGGGGGTAGATGATCTCTAGAGGTCCCTTCCAACTCTGAAAAGTCCATGATTCCGTGATTCCAGATCATAGAATGGTTTGGGTTGGAAGGCACCTTGAAGACCATCCACCCACCTGCCCTGGGCAGGGACACCTCCCACCAGCCCAGGTTGCTCCAAGCCCCATCCAACCTGGACTTGAACACCTCCAGGGATGTGGAGATCTCCACCCCGCAGAGCCCCACGGCATGTGTTTGCGCCCCCCGGGTTTGGGATAGACCCAGGGGATGAGGCTTTATGTGTCAGGATGGGGATGGAGAACATTCTTTCCCTGGGCCCAAGGAGCCGCCCTGGTCTTGGAGAGTGGGCTGGGATGTGGCAGGGGACAGGGGTGGGCTCTGGGGGACACGAAGGAGGCCATGTCCCTGGAGAAGCCACGCAGGGCTGGAGACCGGGCTCCCGCGGGGCTGTTGGGTGCATCAAGGACCACCGGCGTGGCAAAAGGGACAGCGGGTGGTCCAAGAGGGTCCTTCAGGCCCTGCGGCTGAGGGTTTCGGTGCCGTTCAGTTGCCCCCGGTGCTCATTTCAGCTGGACAACGAGTCCTCCATCACCGACACCATCTTCCAGTTCACCACCGAGGAGCTCTCCCTGCTGCCCCTGCGGGACCTGGCCGTCTTTCACAACGGTGACACCTCCCACCAGTTTGGTTTCACAGTCGGACCAGTTTGCTTCAGCTGAAACCGGTGCCACCCAAGCGGAGCCGGCCGGTTCCCTCCCCACCCAAGAACTGTCCCACTGGGGACACGTGTGGAGGCCGGGGGGGGCACGGGGCTCCCACCGGAGCTGCCGGTCCTCTTTGTGACATACGTGTTTGTAGCTGCATTATGCCACGGACTACACTTCCTTCTGGAGTAGAAGAATATTGTTTACAAAAGTCATTTCTCTATAAATTATATATATTATATATATATATGTGTGTGTGTGTGTGTGAGAAAGTGCTGATTTAATGACTCATGTAATTCTAACCACCGGGAACTGTCTGCTAAAGGAAAAAACAAGCACAAATACTGCTGTCTTGGGAGAAGGGGAAGGAAAGGGGCTTTTTTTGGCCTTGGTCAAGTGCACAAATATTTGGAGCCTCATCCCCCCCTGCCCGGGCTGAGCAGCAGCCCCAGGGAGCCCCGCCAGCCCCGTACCAGCTCCGTGCTTAACACTTTATTTTTGTTATTCCCAGTAGAGTTTCCCATGCCTCTAACCATCCCACCAGCCTTGGGCTGCGTGGCCCCGGGTAGATACGGATGAGTCCCGAGGGCAGAGGGCTTCACCTGTGGCACCTGAGCCATAGCTCATTACCGGCACAACCCAACCCCCCCCAAAAATCTCATCTGGCGTTGCGCTGCACCCCTGGTTTTCTCAGCACCCTTCGCTGCTTGGGCTCCGGGGCAGAGCTTGCTGGCCGTGCCCTGCGGCACGCGTGCCGTGGGGCCGGCGCTGCGGTCGGGTGTGGGTGCCGACGGCAGCGGGGCAGTGCCGGTGGCCGGACCCCGCGCCGGGGGGGTGGGGAGAGCAGCAGGGGAAGGGTCCCCGAGGAGATCGGGAG